GTCTCTCTCTGTCCGCAGTTCAATTACCCATTGTTGCCGTCACGTCTTGACCGTCTTATATGAACAAGAATACCGAAATCTAGTAAACTCCCGAGACTTCATGAACGTTCTAGAAGCGCGTGACGTGTTACTAGCGTCACGTGATCTCTGCTGTCGTAACAATAGATTATACTTTGATTTTGTTGAATGATTAGTTTTGCATTATGATTTTGATTTTCTTGTTATTAAGTATCTTACATCATATTGTAACTGATTATATTTATATCTGTATGTTCTGTACTGCATTTAATTTTACTCTAAGCTTGATATGCGATTCTACTATAACATTAAATGTAACTGACTGTTAGAGACTATGTGTTTAGTAAAATTGTCATTAGTCGTGTACATACCCGGCAACTCAGTTTGCCTGTAGTCAAAGCGGGTAATTTCTGGATATTACAACCTTGTTGGTTGAACATGTAATTCTTCCTTTGAACGATCAACTTTAAGGTTTGAGCCTATAGAATTGGAAGAGCCAGGTATGGCCTAATGATTAGTGTGTCTGCGCGTCCCATTGCCGCAGTCACACGCTCCACATTTTGTGCACGTGAGCTATAGAAGTGGCAGTCAAATTCCACTACTCAGTTAAACAAGAGTAGCCTAATGTTTGTGGTGATTGGTGCTAAGTGCTTTCCCTCTGATCTATCAGTTAAAGATGGCTATGCATAAATAGTTCTTGTGTATCTTTCACGAAAATTCTAAAACAAACAAGCTTAGGGAGGCCTTGAGATAAAGATAAGAAAATTTGTCAAAATTTAAATTTTAAATACCTGATATATTTTATTCTTCCATAACTACAAGTAAATATATCTTTATTCGGATATATTCAGGTATTTCTTTTTAATTATCCTGCAAATGTTCTGCTTGTAGTTAGTTGACTTCTTTGTAAACAGAATGTTAACGATCGTAAGCTTAAGTAATCGTTTAGATTATAGAGAAGTTACCTATCACAATGTTGTTGTTGTTGTTCCTGGCAGTTATTTTGATTTAAAAATAATCATCTCCTAAGAAATAATTACTAATCAAGGGTGCTCGAAGATTAAACAATCCTCCTTCACCCTGCTCGTGGCATGAGGTTACATTTCGATTAGTGGTCAGCGGAGTAATGAGCCGTATGGGCGAAGAATAATTAATTAATTCATTAATAATAAAAAATAATATATCAAATAAAAAAAAGAAATTAAATATATATATATATATATTGGATGGTCGAATGAAGGAGAAGCAAGTAGGCAGTAGTGAAGGCAAGTCCAAAGTCGAAGCAGAGACCGGTTGATCTTTAAAGAAGGAGCAAGTCATCAGCCGATTTTGACAAGTTATCGAAACAAAATGAAGCAAACGGGCCTTTACAGGGCCTGGCGAGGATCAGTGGATCAAGGTGCCAAGGCTGGGATCTATGGATCCGATGCCTGAGAATTAGATGTGGGGGAAAACGGGAGTACCCCGAGAAAACGCCTATCACAATGATTGTTCACAAAGGCTTATATTTTGTTTGTGTGCCATGTCTTCCTAAAGTCAGGTCGCTTTCATTTCATGGAGCAGTACAGGGACCATGAACACTACAGCATTTTCCCAGAGGGTAGGGAGTCTAAATCAAAGGTATATATATATATATTTCTCATTTTCCCCGCGAGGCAAATGTCCCTGTGCCCCCCCCCCCCCCCATGCGGACACCCAAGACAGGAACTTGAACAAGTTAGTATGAGTTGAGAGTTTCTTTCTCCTAAACAAAAAAAATTATAATTGACATTGGTAGTGTAAAATCATGGGTAATCGCACTGTAAACTTTTATTTGGACTTAACAGTGCAATATATCATAATTCTTATTCCTGTCTTGGTCTTATAAAGACGTAAAAATCTTCCTTTCTGCTTCAACAGCTGGCCAATTCAGTTTAAGTAAAACTTACACTGTTGATAAATAAAGATTTTGTAAATTGGTTCACAAGCGTTTGCTTCTTTTCATTTTCTGTCTAAGTTATTCTCTCTTAGCATTTCTTGAATTTGCTGCTTTGTTTTTTGTTTTTTTTGTTACCTGATTACTCTACCCATATTACAACCGTATTCTGTCAGAAACATTTTAAGATCTAAACATGGATCAAAATAAATCCTTATAACAGCCTATTTAACAGATTTCTACACATTTTATGAAATATTAAAATCTTATCTGTGTTTATTTTTTTTTTAGAAAAACAATTACTCTAAATTATGTTCAGAGACTGATCGTTCTCCTTGTCATAAGAAGGGTTTGTTTTGAATTTCGCGCAAAGCTACACGTGGGCTATCTGCGCTAGCCGTCTGTAATTTAGCAGTGTAAGACTAGAGGGAAGGCAGCTAGTCATCACCACCTACCGCCAACTTTTGGGCTACTCTTTTACCAACGAATGGTGGGATTGACCGTCACGTTATAACGCCCCCACGGCTGAAAGGGCGAGCATGTTTGATGGGATGGGGATTCGAACCCGCGACCCCGCAGATTGCAAGTCATAAGAAGGGATTATGCATCATAAAACTCTGTCTATATATAGAAAATAAAAAAAGGACGAAAGTTATTTTACTTGTTACCCCTGTAGAGCCCCCCAATGGCACAGCGGTATGTCTGCGGACTTACAACGCTAGAAATTTCTATACCCGTGGTGGGCAGATCACAAATAGCCCATTGTGTAGCATTGTGCATAACTACAAACAAACAAACAAACCCCCCGTGGCTCAGCGGTAAGTATGCAGGCTTACAACGCTAAAAATCGAGCTTCGATACTCGTAATGGGCAGAGCATAGATAGCCCATTGCGTAACTTTGTGCGCTTAACAACAACCATTTAACCAAAACTAGCGTATTTTATTTATAAATATTAAATTATTATAATCATTGTTCCAACCTAAAACATAAATTAAGTTTATCTTGAAAAATATATGTAATTTAATTAAGATTAAATAAACCTTGTGTCATGTTACAGTACATGTAACAGAAATGAATTTATTTTTACATTTAGCAAACTAGGGGAAAATAATGGAAGACTTTCATTTCTCTTTCTCCATCTTTCTTTGCCCTCGGTATTTTGCATTTCGGTACTTGTAGTGGGCACAGGGAAAATAACCAACTGTGCAGCTTTGTGTTTAACTACAAACTAACAAGCTCTCAGTCACTCACTTTTTTCTTTCTGTAAATTGACGAAGGAAACGTCAACACTGCTGTGAAAAAAGATCTTGTGCCGAGTGCAACGAGTCACTGGTGTTGTGTGCAAAGATTTAAACAATATATGATCGTGAAAGGTGTAGAGATGCGTGTGTGAGTTTCGTTTGTGTTATGGATGAAAAGGTATAAACTGTTTAACTATGTTATGATATATAAATCGAGATTTTGTTATATTTTAAGGTCGTCCATGTCATATTTAAGGCTATATTGTTTCAAGCTTTCATAATCGTAAAGAAAAAGATGGAACTTGAAATTTAAGTTAAACTTAAAGAAATTATAAATAGAATTTAGAAGAATAGAAAGTCAAGTAGACGACGACACGCATCGTAGCGGGTAAACTTCAAAGTTCAATGGACAATGGAGAGGGAAAGGCTTTGATCCTATTCTAACGCATTTAAAGTTCAACTTAAACTAACTTCACTACCTCTACTTTAGTAAGTGGTAATGTCTTACTCTTATTATAGTCTCATTACAAACTGTATTACTATTAGTAGGGTATTAGTATTAATTGTGCATTGTATGAAGTGGTATACTATAATTTCTTAAAATAAAACGTGTGTGTTACTAACGCCAGTGTTACTGTTGCACTTTTCTATTTTCATTTAAATTAGAATTGCAATGTATATTCTTGCAAAGTCAAACGACTTCTTAGTTCTGCAAAATTCTGTTTTATTTTTAATTCATATTATAAAGAAACTACTTGTGAGTGTGAACCATGTAAAAATAATATAAAATTATAATGTTTTCTCTTTGTTTTAAATTTCATACACTTTGTTCTATAAATATAATTTATATATATATATACATAACTGAGAAATTGGTTATGCATTATATAGATACTGATGTAAGTTTCATGGTGTGTTACTACTAAGTAGTAAAATATCTTGTTACTGACCTAAGGCTGAGACCAAATGTACAGTGTAAGTTTTAACTATTTGTTAGTATAGGTGTAGCTAGGGCTGGATAGCTGGGTAGCTTTTTATATAAATTTTAAGAGATATAAACTTAGATAAAGTTTAAACAAAAACTAATAATTGTATCTAAAATGTCTAGAATTTAGTACCTCTTCCACCTACTATAATTTTGTAGCTACATCCTTGTGTTACTCTTACTCTTAGTAACATTATTGCTCTACTTATGATAGTTCAAAAGATTGTGGATGATTAAACTTGTTACCTGGACAATGTAAAGGTTATGGACTTGATGTACTTAAATTTTAATAAGCTTTTAAAAACTTGCCTCACAGAAGATAAGCTATGAAAAATGGTGTTGAGGTTCTACAGAATTGGTAATTAGGACAAATATTTTGCAAATAACCTTTAATAAGAGTTGCCATTATTTGGATCACATGTTTAATATTGATAGGAACCTACTCGATAGCATGACTAAAGAAAAGGATCTCAGAATAATGGTGGATAAGTGACCCAGGCAGTGAAGTCAGTGTTATGTTTCTAATAGTGTATGTATGTGTACATATATAGTTGGAAATTAATGCTACAAACTAGCAAATAACTGGTTATTGTTGCAGTTTTTCTTATAAGAATTATAAGGCATCAGAAAAAGATTGCTAGCAGTACACATTTCTTACTGTCGATTATCAATACATCTGTGATGTATGCATTTCAATCTTCATATTGCAAGATTCTTAGAATATAATGTACACTATAATTGTGATTAACAAGATTATTGCACTTGATGATGCCATGCTGGTTATTTAATCTTTGTTTTGAAGCTAAGCAGGAACGTTGAGAGCCAGCATGGGCCCGGGGCAAACATCCTTGCCGGGCCCCCTTTCTCTCTCTCTCTCTCTCTTTTTAACATTTTCAATAATTTATTAAAAGAGATCCTAAATTAGAACAGCAATGAGCTCATAAACCAGACAAAATCATAGCAGCAGCCTATTTTTACCTCACGAGTATAAGACGTAAAAATTTTATAAAGTAACAACAATATCTATTATTTCTAATAAAGTAACAAT